ACCCTTTCAGAGGGTAACAATTACAATAAAGTCTACCTATTCTCCTAACTGAAAAGAACATTGTAAAATTATTATTATTGTTGTTATTAGTAGTAGTAGTAGTAGTAGTAGTAGTAGATTCCATGACAGCATGCTGCTCTAAGTCCTCAATGTCAGATTAGTTGTGTTTGAATGTGGTCTCAGGAGGACTGGGCACACAGTGCATATGCAAATAGATTTACAGACAACCAATTACACAGAAAACTCTTCAAACAAAAGAGGGGAGGAGGCACACAAATGAGAGGCCTGTCATTTCTGGATGGAGAAGGACAGCAAGAAGTCAAAAAGTGACTGAGAGACTAATATAATGATTTATTGGATAAGATTATAAAGTGGATTATGTCCTGACTGAGTGGGGCCACTGGTATGGGTGAAAGGGACACCGAGACTGTATATTATGATTGATTGTCATTGTGTTCATGTGCTAAAATAGTTACCAAGTAATCATCTGCAGTCAGCAGGGAAATTACGGGTTACAAATCAATTCTGTATTACACTGATTATTTGCTTTATGTTTACATGTTTGTGTTGCATAATGGAAATGAGTTAAACAGCATTAGCACTGGCTCCTCTGTGGGAGTTTTTACAGATAGTTAGGCCAATTTTCTAGAAACATTAATAGCGAGTAACAGTGCTATGTTTTAATGCCATTTGCTGAAGTGGTGGTTTCATGAAGCAACTCTAAAATAGAGTAAGAGTCAGTGCATTAAGTCCTGTTATCTCCTTAACAAAGATGATGCCATTTAACATTATGGCAATTTGGCGAATGATCTCTGTGCTCAACAAGGCTTGCAGTTTTTGTGTGTCTATGTGTGTGTGTGTGTTTTAGGAGTGGGAGGTGGATGATGTGTTTGTTTGTGTGTGCATGACTGCATGTGTTGCAAATTCACCAGTTACTCTCAAAATATTCAATGTTCAGTAAATACTGATCATCTGGGTCTACAGCCAGCTAGTTGGTCTGCGAGGTTGCACTTAGATACAGCAGTGCTTTGAGCTAAATGCTAACATCAGTGAGCTAACAATGTAAAGCTACTGTAACATGATGTTTAGCAGGTAAAATGTTTACTATGATCACCACCTTAATTCAATTCTAACATTTGCTAATTAGCACTAAACTGTCTCAGCCCTGCATGTTTGGCCTTTCTTTTCCAGTTCTTCACTGAGCCACCAGATGTCCTTGAGTTCCCTAGTCACCTCCACACCGGTTTTACAGTCCTCATTGCAAGACCTGCCCCACCTACTTACACACCTGTTTCCACTCCTTTTATCAGTCCCACCATATGTTCACCAGCTTGCTATCCTTAGTGACTTTCTATGCATGCGAGAGTTACAGCCACATTTACCTGTCTGTTTTGACCAGCCTGTCTCTGATCATCTGCCTGTTTTGGATATTCTGTCTGGCTTTTGGGCTGTTTCACTTAACAGTTTCTGTCACCTTGAATTGCTTGCTTGCTTGTTTTCTATCTTTGCATGTTTCGTGCCTCATCTTAGTTCTGCCTGGTGGTGTGTGTATGGACTTTTAGAAAGCCTGTTTGTCTTGCCATCGAAATGAATGGTTGCACCACATCATTCTGCAGTTGGGTCCTATATTCCTGTAGTTTCTAACTTGGAACATGCCACAAAAGACAAAGTACAGCTGAGGTTAATGGGAATCTCATTAGTTTTGCAGGTATTTGATTATAAACTAAAGTATGAGACAAATGACTTTGTGATGGTATTAGATGAAAAGTTAAGGGATCACTAAGGTTATTAGAGTTAATTCTGACAAGGATATGAGAGTCTGTATCAAATTTCATGGCGATCCACTGAACAGTTGTCATGACATTTTACTCAAAGCCATGAATGTCAACCTCATGAGGATGCTAGAGGAAAATTTAAGTGATTACCAAAGTCATTAGCATTCCTCAGAGGACCATATGGAAATCCCTCCAATAGTTGTTGAGATAGTTCACAAAAAATGTCAACGTGCTTGTGGCCTGAGAGAAAAGTCGGGGGATTACCATAGTCATTAGCATCTATCCTTTGGGTATGTCTGTATAAACCTTCATAGTAATTTATCCAATATTTGCTGAGATATTTCAAGCTGTACTTATGCACTGTAAGTGGTGGACAGACCAACCAGCATTACCGTCCCTGTTGCTCCATCACTAGCATGAATTAAAACTGCAGCATTATGTGATGTGCTGTCATCACGGTGCTCTAGATTTTTGAAGTGTAAGTGCATGGTCAGTGCTGTTCAACTTGTCCCATAAGCTCCAAATGCCAGTCAGCAAAAGGTTTTTCCAGAAGGCGCAGTCAGGGCATGTGAAACAACCTCTCATAATGAGAAAGTCCGTGTTTATTCATGTTTGTGGCTATATATGTTCTGATCCCAATGTGTTTGCTGCATACAGTGGAAAAATACTCATGAATAATTTAAATAAAAGATAAAAATGTATGTTTACAGCTTGGCCCTTTCATATGCTAATGCAAATATATCTATTCACCCAGGGATGCTCTGCGGATCTAAGAAAAGCATTTGACAGTGCACATTTCCTTCACCTTTGAGAGTTAGGAGAACTCAGTAGAAATCAACAAGAAGAAATAGAATCCTGTTTGTGTCTGATCTTCAGAATTCTCCTTCATTCTTTTATGCAACATCTGCAATTTAGCTTTCCCATGCCTTTATGTAAATATATATTTTTCAAAATTTCAATGGAATACGACCACTTCGAAGTCTCTGCATGTGCAGTGGCTCAGAGGCTCAAGCTTTCCTTTAGGATCCAAAGTCATCAGCCTAACCATTCTTTTTATTTATTTATTTAGCATAAGTATGGACGCTCCCCTCAGAGCCTTTGGCAGGTCAATAAACTGAATAGTACAGAACAGACTGTGGAAAGTAATGGAGGTGAGGATTTTCCCAACTTGTCAGCTCTGTGTCATTCTACTCATTAACCACAGTGAGAGTAACCTGGCGTTTGTGCCCAGTTGGATCAGCATGCATGCAGTGGGCACAGCTTGTCATAGGCTTAAGAACACACAGGCCTGGGAGGGATAACAGACAATAAAATCAATAAGACAGCAACACCAGATCACTACTCCCCCTCTGCCTTCTGAAAGACAATAAAACACTGTCAGCTGTAGGTTGCTTACTTATGTAAGGAAAACGTTGGTCCTGTGGTAGAGTCATCTTGTAACATTTCAGTCCTAACTTCAACCTACATAAATCTGACTTTGATCCACCTCTCATGGTTTTAGAACTCTAATCTTCCTTCTGCAGTAAATAACTAAACCAGAATTTTCTCTTGAATAAACTATTACTGCGAAAAGTACACTGGCAGGATTTTGGTCTATAACAACTTTCAGTCTCTAGGGCAATCTTATGAAGCAAGAAGCCAAACGCTAAAACTCTCAGGAAATAAAAAGTATCAATTCACTGATTTTACTGCCAGCTCAGCTTACAATTACTTCTTTACCTTTTCAACTTGTGAGGTTTATAGTGCAAGCACTTAAATGTTAAAGTTTAACAAAGGAATACTTTCATTACTAAGTTGTCTACTTTTTGCATTTTATGACAGTTTGATCATGACAACAGCAGCTGTAGGTGTAGATAAAGCGGGAGAAGCAGCTTTAATAGGGTGCACACTCCTGCAGACCACAGTCAGTTTCTGGATCACTTTTAGTACAACACTGTAAATGCAGTGATTACAATAGTTTTTTGCTGAATTATTTTAAAAACCTTTATAAATACCCTCCCTGCTTATAGGACCAGATTCTTTCTGTCTGTTAAGTGAATAGGAATCGGAATCAGAATCAGGTGTGTTGAACAGACAAGGACTCTGGTACTGTGGCTCTCAATGTGCTCTCAAAATATTACATATTTCTCATCACAATTTAAGAATATCATGGCATCAAAGTCAGGTTTCTGCCATGCTTTTAAAGAGGATGAGAGGAGCTGTTTTAATTGGCATTACTAAAGCCAGCCCCAACTCCACCTGCTTATGATGCACTTCTCCCTTTAATAATGGATTCCTCATCTCTTCCTCAGTAACGCCTGATTGTGCCCACAGTGCACCACTGTAGGACATGCTTGTATACACCCTCACCTGGAGTTTAGACTTGAGTTTATGACTGTGCCCTATTTCATTAAAATAGAGATCATAATGAAAATAAAGTTTATGTTTCACTGCAAATACACAAAACTTTTTTTATATCATTTTATACTTTCCAGTATGTATTGACTCTTCTGCACACAGATTATGGTAAAGTGACATTAAGCTGACCTTTCATTATGACAGCTTTCCTAATTTTGGCTGCTGCAGACGAAGTTGATGGGAATTGTGTACACATGTTAATAATTATGATCACTGATTCAGCTTTAATTTAAGATTTTAATCCCCATGTGACAGGTTGCAAAATAAGTCATTATCAAAACATCACAACCTTTTCCCCCTAAGCTGTCGCTCCCTTGTATACAGATGTGAGCATGAGACGTAGCACAGATGTATTAATTTTACTACTTCCATTACAAGCATAATGCAGGGTCAACAAGTGTTCATGTGTTCACATTATTATGCTCATTCCTTGTAATAACAGCTGTATCATTAATATATAAACCTGTATGAAATCAAAAGAAATCAAAAACTCTCTGTAAAACCAGTAATCCAATTTTTTCCAGTTAGTTCTCTCTATTCTTCTCTCTGTATCTCACTGTCTCCATTACTCCCTTTTGTCCTTTCATTTTCTCTCTAGTCTCAGACTCTCATTAACACTGCTGCCCTGTTGGTTCTTTGCCTCCTCTGTTCCCCCACTTGTGCAACTACAGAGCCACTATTCTTTTCCTTTCTTCGACTCACCCCCCTACACCACCTTTCATAAACAATGTGTCAGATGTATGAAACTAACGGGGGATAGGAGACATCCAATTAAAAGCACAATGCATAATTATTTCACAGCTCCCCTCTCTCTTCTGTCTCCCAAAGCCCTTCAGATTATGTAACAGCTCAGTGTCAGTAGAGCCAGCCTGTGGAGGACAAGTTAAGGGCGTCTTCACTGGCGATGCAGCTCAGCGACTCTGGACTTTCCGCAGCAGCTTGCGTACTACCCCTCATTCCTCCTCCTTCTCCTCCTCCTCCTTCCTCCCAATGCTATATCCACCCACCCATCCACCCACCAGCCCACCCTCTCTCTGTCTTTCTTACACACGCATACACATGTACACTCAATCAGGAATGCAAAGGGATTGCAGCAACAGCAGCAGCACCGCTAGATGGAGATCTCCGCTGCGTGTGTGAGTGCTTATTCCCGGTGAGTGCAGGGACAAGATCGAATGAGTGTCAGTGGTGCTTGAGTAAGGTGTACAAGGGAGAAGAGGGGGAGAGAGCAAAGTAAAAGGCAGGAAGAGGATATCTGTGAGGACTCGATGAGGTTTTGAGGTAATGGCTGTCTGCTTTTTTTTTCTCTCCCTTCCTGGTAACCTCAATCTTTGCTGGATGTGCCACAACTACTCCAGCTGTCACTGCACCGGCTGCCTCTCCCTTGGTCCTCCTGCAGCTAGTGATAGCTGCTCCAGTGGCTGGACGATACCCTGGCACCCTCTGTGTACATGGATGAACACTGGCTCTACAGGGCATCTGTGCTCTCTTGTCCTTTGCACCACTAATCTGTTTCTCAAGGTAAGAGTTATACTTCCTTTTTTTGGAGTTGCACAAATATTCGCAGATAAGAATTTGGGATTCATCTGGTCTGCCTTTTAAAATCTTAACTGAATCAAAGTGGATGAAATATGTGTGTGAAATATAAAATACTGTTAAAGTCTCTGGCTGGTGATGCGTGCATGTGTATGGTCCCTGCATCCATTAGATATAGATAAACCGGGGAGGGGGCTTTTCTGCATCCAAGCACTGGAAGGTTTAATGACTAATCAGTAGAACACGTCACAGGTTTTTCTTCACAATTGAAAATGAGGATGAATGATAATGTAATTTGACTTTGATTAATTTTCTTATAAGGGGCATCTTTGCAGCCTTTGACAGACATGCATTATTTATCTGATGAAGCAGAGGCTGATCTTCAGGATTGCTGTGAATTGTTTGGATTGACTATGAAGAAAATTGATGAGCTCTTTCCAGTAGACTATTGTATATTGTATTGCAATGAACTGTCAAAATGGTGATCACATGTTGGAAAACACCTATCACATGAAGTGATGTAGACTATATAACACATTCATATGTGATGAGCGATGTGCTCCTCAGCACTGAATTTGACAAAAAATGGATTCAGACATCATTTCTAATGACATGTGTGATCATGGAAGCTCTAGGGTACTGCATCACATACAGAGCTGCACTTATATTTGCTCTCAGTCTATACCTCTCTCCCTCCCACCCCCTCTCCCTCTCTATCTCTGTGTGTGTTTCCTACATGTCATTCCTTGACTACCTAAATTTACAGGAAACACAGGCGGGCTACCACTTTAAGGTGCCAAACACACTGGGGTTTGTCTATCTCAGCATCTTTCTCACATGTTAAATCATCTTTTGCATCACACTTGAGTTAATCATCAGTTCAACCTGAGTACACATACTGTAGCCAAACCCCTTATAAATCAATGAAGTCATCAAGGTAATGCACTATAAACAGTATGTGAGCTGTAACAAGTTAAAGTCAGAGGCAGTCTTTTCTTGTTTGTTTGTTTGGTTTGGTTTCTTTACCAAAAAATATGTATGATCACAAAAAAATCCCAAATGCCTTTCTGCAGAGCAGCCTCTCCAAACTTACTCTTTCCAAGGATCCATTCCACAGCTAGTGCTCTCATCCCGCTATTCCCATGTAACAGAGAGTGCTGCTCAGTGATAAAGCTTTTAAGCCAGTGTCATAACATAAACCTTCACAGGTGTAGTCTGGAGCCTGAATAAATGCAGATAACTCTGGATGGCAGCTGGAAAAAAAAGATGGCATGTACTGTATATGTGTGTGTGTGTGTGCATGCTTTTTTTGTTTGTTTGTTTGTTTGTTTGGTTTTGCATGTCCATAACTACTGTGCTCTCAAAACTGGCTAGGGTTGTTTTTCAAATACTGAACAGAAGCCTATTTAAAAATCTTGGATCTAAATTCCTTACATTGTTGCTGGAGCTTGATGGTGTGTTGAACAAAGGATTTTTAACACTGAACATGTAGAGGCAGAAACTGCTGAATACTGTAAGCAGGCCCCTATAGCAAAACTCACTGACATGATGCAAACAACCTTGTGGTGCAGTACAGTGCAGTGATATCTCATCCTTTACATTGTCCTTATGAAGGCAAAGTTGGTGCAATGTCATGCTCAGTAATTTATGGAAATAGTGAGAAAAAACCAGATGCACTGCACATTAACAATGCATGCATTAGAATGTATGGGGGATGATGAGCGTGACATCAACCTGTACCATTACTTATCTGCTAATGAAAATGGCCAGGCAGTGTTAACTTATGAATATTCTACAGATGCTTTTCAGTAATTATTGCATTGATGCAGGCTGACAAGGATGCAAGACGACCCAAGCAAATCCAACTCATAAATCATGAGTCAGCAGTGTAGTAGACTTGTTATGGTAAGGAACTTCTATTAAAACTGTCTTTACAAACACCTACATTTCTATAACACGTTGGTCATCTTAAATCAGTCATGACACTGTGGCTAAATAATTTTTTTTCTCTCATATATGCAGCATTTTATCATAAAGAATGGAAGGGCAATTGGAACAGACAGCAAGGTCTGTCAGGGTACATAAGGAGATTTTAGAGGATTACTTTTGCAATTTTAGAGTCAGTGCATTATTTATAATCCCTTGGATAGCTGAGGCCAATTCAGGGAAGAACCTCAGGTCATTAGTAGAGATATAGCTGGCTTTGAGAAGAGGACGACGAGAGCTTAGAGTAGGAGAAGCAAAAAGACGATGAGGAAGAGAATCTCACTCAGCTATCTGAATATATCCATGTGTCACATTAGCCTCTCTCTCTGTCTATCTTTCATCTCATTCTCAAACTGTGCATCTGACTTCCAACAATAATAAGTCAATGAAGAGCTTTTCTTGGTTCCCTTTGTGTGACTTGCCATTCAGATGCATTACATGCTTTACATGGCTGCTTAAGAAACCGTATGCGTTTAGAGGAGACTTCCTGCAGATATCATTACCTTTTCAGTAGTATGAAACTGATATTTCTGAGTGTGAAATACTATGATCCCATTTGAATCAGCCTTGAACTAATTCTTTTTTAACCATGGGACCACATCTGACAAACAACTCCCACTAAAATCAAAGCACACAGCAAGCTGCATTTCCGAACAAATACGACTCCCAATAAAGTGTAGCTGTTCCAAATAACAAAACAACTGTGCCTAAATTCATGACACAGCATACAATATTGTTCATTTATAATGAGACTGAGTCAGTTGCCTGGGTTTTTTTCCCCCTCATCTGGCACTTAATGCATTTATTACCATACAAAACTATTACTGAAGTGACACTAGAAGCTGTTGACATGCAGAGGGTTTTTTCCCAACATTAATAGGGAGCAAAATGAAACAGTTTCCTCTGAACATATTACCTTTCATCAACAGTTTGAGCTGAGAGTTATGTTACAGTAGAGATTCTACAACGTGAAACACAATACAAGAGTCCCAAGAAATCAAACTTAATGTCTTATATTATCAGTCCTGTGTGTGTGTGTGTGTGTGTGCCTGCCTATGGCATTACTCAGATTCCTGTTAACGCACACGCATTATGGGGACTCAGCCTTCCTTGTGGGGATCAAATGCTGGTCTCCACCATGTAAATCATTGAATTTTAGGGTGACAACACGGTTTAAGGTTTGAGTCAGGTTAGGTAAGTAGCAGTTGAAGGTGAGGATAAGTCTTGAGGAATGAAAACACATTTGTGTGTGCTTTTGTGCAAACAGTTTTAAAACTGTTGGCAAAGGCCTGTCTTTGAAAAGCTGACAACAAGGTCCACACACACTAATACTTACACACTTTCTGTTTATAACACTAAATGCAAAAGAAGGTGCACACCTAGACATATCCAAAAATCTATACCGATATACATGTGTGTAAATTCACACACAAAAGTCTCATAAAGCAAAGACGGTTTGCCACCTTAAAAAAGTGTGTATTCTTTTCATATTACACTAAGTATCATGTTCTGCTGTATGTATGTTTTGGCAAATTTTGTCATTACTGTATATCACTGGAATTCTACACGCACTGCAAAGGTAGATCATCTATAGATTAGAAATCTGCTCATGCTTGGACAAATTTCATGGGAGTAGTGAAACTGGCATTAAATAAAAGTCTCCTCGGTATAAATTTCCCCACCAGAACAATAGATGAATTTACAATGTCCCCAAATGTTAAAACATGATCACTTTCAGAGAAGCTGTGACACCGTGAATACTGTAGCTTACTTTTGGTATGGTAATAAAAGCTTCATTGGAGATTATTTATTGCGTGCTGTCTTGTCATATGAAAATGATTAACCAGCTCTTTCTGATGTTTTCTTTCAACCCTATCAGACATCATTTCATTTCCTTGTGCTGTAATGCACCAGCTATGAAATGTGTTTCATCACAGACGAAACAGAAAATGTAATATTACTCATTTGATTATATGGACCTTTAATTTGAAATTCAGCTTGGAGAGTGACTATAAACAAGCAGTTCTTTCTTGTATTTTGAATGTCATTCCAGTTTCTTTGTGTGATTAAAGCAGTTTCTATTATTAAATCAAAGAAGCCAAGACTTTGAAAGAATGACATAAAAAATACTTTTAATATTTTGATCGTGATGAATTAAGCATAAACACTTTCTTACTAAATACGTGAATGATTGGTGCATTGTTAGTGTGATGATACCTCTTCAAGCATATCATATGGCTACAAACAAGGTTATCATTTACTTGAGAATCTAAATGATTAGGCGATCTTGAACAACTGTGCTTTGAATGTTACAAAGCAGTTGTTTAAATGTCTGTTATTAAAGCGACATACAAAACCAATGTTCTATAAACCATATAATGAGACTGTTGTCAAAATTAATTTTTAACACTATTTGGAGCTTTTAACACTCCTACTCAGTGAAAACTGTGATTTCAAACCACTCATAAACTTATTCAGTTTCTGAAGGTTGATTTGCAAACATCCTTGTGAAGGTTTTGTGTCTCAAGCTGTTTTCAGTCCTATAAAGCTGTAACAAACAATAATCTGTAAACTTTGAACAAGGTCATTTCAACCAGCCAAATCCTGTGAAACTGATTTATGATGTGGTTACATACTATGTGGTGTATATATGGTGTCAAGGCCTGACCTCAAGTCGTCAGTCCCCTCAGCACTGCAGATATAGAACAGTGATGATAATTATTCTCCCTAAGGATTTCAGGATAGAGCCTATGAGTGGAGGAGCCCAACAGCAACTATTATGTAGAGAATAGTATGTTGGGCCCACAGCTTCTGTGTGGCCATTTCCTTTGCTGTGAACCTCTCACCACAAGCACCAACAAAACACCTGTGGAGAAAATCAGTCAATCGAAATGCAGAGGCTCACAAAAATATATCTTATAATGTTGTAGTACTGATAAGATGCATGGATATACAATAATCTCAAGGTTGGCAATGAGTGTGTAACAGTCCAGAGCAGAGAATAGGAGCTCAGCAGTTTAGATATAATTACGATATGAAGAACAGAACAGTGAGCTGTCACATAGACCCATTTGTTTGAGTTGGAGTGGTTTCCTAATATACAGATGAACATGATCTACATGGACAAAATGTAAATGTGAAGTTTCCCGTGAAGTCATGTGTAAATCACTAAAGCTAATGTACAATATTACCCTCTTGATACTTGGGTTTGCAGTGACTGAATAAGAAACCTCAACAGTGACTTCAGCCAAGAGGGAAATAAGCCATAAAACCAAATTAACCCAAGCATTTGATAATACACAAACATGATTACTGCTAGTTTGCCACTGCATAAATCAATCACATAAACATGTCAACAGGCATTTCTAAAACAAAAGCCAAAATAAATTAAAGAAAATTGTTGATAAGGTCCACAGGAGTATAATGTTTAATGATACTTTCAGGCACACAATGAATAAAACAATGACATTAATTCAGAATATACAGCCTACATGTTAGCATAACTAACAAATATCTTAGCTTAATGAGGTAAAGCAGTGAGTTGGCATGTCAGCAGTGATAACACTCCAAGCTAACAGCAAAACTGTGCTTCTAGCTTGAAGGTGTGTGTTTGAGACTAACAACTGGATGGAATTTCTGAATGTTGACAGCAGCAGCATGCTGCACAATCTAAACACAATTATTATTCCAAAACAGTAACCTGAAGCAAATGCTCAGACTTTTGGCAAGCAACCTTGCTAATGAAATGCTACTGTATTTAATGACTACAAGTGTTTGCAGACTTAGCAATAAGCAGAAGTACTAACAGGACAAAAAAGTAGGCAAGGTAAAGAGTTGCGAATTGCGAGGAACTATTTCAGGTGATAATTAAAAGTGTTAGCTAGATACCGGTGTATATGTATACATAACTGGAGAGTTTGACTTGTGGATGAAATATGATTATTTTATTCTTTGTCATGTAGCTTTGATTCTTTACTTTACACATTTCACCATATGTATTAATTAATATTGTACTTTAAATTTTGAATCATGGATTTGGACTTGAAACAGATCATACCTTTAATCAAGGCTTATAATGTGTTACCATCATGTAAAGTTATGGTTCCAAAAGTAGGAAATAATTAGGTCTACACTAGCTTAAGTTCTAAAATCAAATGACTTCCTACTACATAACGTAGTAACACATAAACTAATTTTTTTCTTTACCTTTTTCAGGAAATATGGTGAGCAAAGAGGACACCAAATGCATTGTTCTCTCAAATTCAGATGAATCAGATTCAGACACGGGTCCATCACACACCCTTGATGCACAGTCTGGACAAGAATCAAGCAAACAGCACGTGAAGAAGAGAAACAAGGCCCTACAAGTACGTTTTAAGGATATCTGTGAAGCTCAGAATGAGCATTGGAGAAAACGCTCCAGATCCATTTCCTGTAAAGTGACACACAGAAAGTACATGACCATGCCTGCGAGACGCTCTATTCCAAATGTAACCAAGAGTACTGGTGTCCAGACCTCGCCAGATTTCACTAAGCGATACAAGACTTTCCCTTTTGAAAGGAAAAAAGGTCATACATTTAAACATACTGCTTTGGTGGAAGATTACAGAGGACAAAACAATGGGTTTTTGAGTGATATAAAGGCAGAAGGAGAGGATGGACAACCTATTGCGGAGTCCTCTAGGTACAAGGGTAAGATTGTGGGGCAGACAAAAGCTTTGCTTCACCATACTGATGACAGCAGTGATACAGAGGATTTGCTTTCCAGTGCCAACTGTGTGGATGGACCCTCATGTCCAGAATCCTCACATTTCTCAGAAGTGTGCCATCCGACCAGCTCTCCTTCCAAAAGTGAACCAGAGTACCAGATTTGTGGGATAAGGGAGAAACATAAAGGATTACCCAAAGAAGGTATGAATGCTGGCACCTCCTCAAAGCGCCAGCTAACAAACTCCGAGCTTCCACAGGACAAGGCAAAAGGTACAGGCCCTGTTGCATGGAACTCTCTGACACAGGTGGAGTCTTTAGGAAGCCCCTCTGTGAGCTGTAAACGGAAAAAGGGCACACAGCTAAATGAACAGCAGTCACAGACACTTCCCCATAGTGCCAAATGTTCTGTGCAGTCACAAGGGCAGTGTCGGACAAGGCATGTGTCAGCTTCCTCTAAGCTCCAGCAAACAGTTGTGGGGGATGACGGCTTTCCTCCAGGAGACACAAGAGCCCGAGGCATGGGAAGCAGCCAGCAGATAATGCCCTTATCTGGAGATAAGGATATCAAAGCACAGCTGCAGGCCATGGAAAGCCTCATCAGCTCGAGCCAGGAGACCATCAAGGTCCTACTTGGAGTTATACAGGAGCTGGAAAAAGGTGAAGCACAGAGAGAGGGGTGAGTAGTGTAAACTTTATAGCACATACTTTTATAAGTGAAACCAAACATTATACTGTGCATGTACAGTGTGCACATTTCACAGTGTTCAGTTAAGGAAAAAAAGCTATGATAATGGGCTAGTTCAGTTTAATACAGCTTGATTGTTATTTTTGTAGCTTTGGCCATCACTGCTGTTGTTCTATTGGCTATGATAACCTTTTACTCACCAAAGTACAGCCTTAGTTTAGCATGTTAACAGGCTAACACTTGTTAATTAGCATGAAACAGAAAGGACAACTGAGATCAATGAGAATGTCATTAGTTTTGCAGGTATTTTGGACATAAAGTGGAGTACTGGACTATGATTAGTGTGCTACATGAAAGGTCAGGTCAGAACAAAGTTTTTACAGTTATCCTCAAGGAACCATGAAGTTGGTGCCAAATGTCACAGCAGTCCATCCCACAATTGTTGTAACTATTCAATAAAAAACCTCATGGTTGAGCTAGAGCAAGGGTGTTACCGAAGTCATTAGGCTCCATCCTCTGTGAACCATGAACAGCTGCACAAAATTTAGTGCCAATCCATTGATTAGACATTGAGATATGAATAAGTGAAAACTGTGAATGGTGCTAGAGGAAAAGGAAGAGGATCACCAAGCCATGCTACTAGCATGGTTAAAAAAATGCATTAGCAGTGTGATGTGATAATTAATTAACCTTCAAGATCTAATGGGACATTTAAAGTACAGTATGGTACATGTCAGTATAATAGATGTAATTTTAGTACAAGAGCATGTCTCCAAATATGTTATTTGTCATATTTCAATGTACAGTACCTAAGCAAAAATGAGTCCTCAAGCCGAGCTCTGACAGCAGTGCCATTGTAAGGATCAATGTACTCCATCTCCAGAACCCAGAGCAACACAAAGCAAATTGTATTTAAGTCTTATCCACATCCAGTAGAGAACAAGGCACCCTAGTGTGACTCTGTGGAACTCGGTTTTAAAGGTCCAATTAGTGCAGCCTCATAACACTTTGCCTCTCATCTCCACAAAACTGTGTCTGCTATAGTGCCTCCACTGTGTTGTGTTCCATCAGTGTTATTAGAGAGATGCAGTTATAGGACATAAAGCCTACCTTCCATTGTACATTCCCAAATACTCTTTCCATTTTTCAAGGCTGGACAGTCAGATAGCTGCCTTTAGAACTATACTTTGAGATTAACCAAAAAGCAACTAAAAGCTTTTATGTTCTCACCAGGAATGCATAAACCCAAGATGTTCAATGATTTTTATCATACATGCAGTGACAAAAGAATAATGTAAACTATTATCCAGTGAGGGTACAGGTACAGTGTTTGTAGGAAAGTATTTTGTCCATGGGAATTATCTCACCTTCACTGTTTACATTAGAATTAGTACAAAAGATCATACTAGCCCATTACAATACAAACATTAAAAATAATTCTTACTAGGGTACAAAGGGAACTTAAATAATGCATTTGCTCATAATCAGTTTCACGTTTCCTTAAGTCTGTTGGTGTCACACTAAATGTTGATGTCCTGCAAAAAGGAACAAAAAACAATGAGTGGTATTTGATAATGCTTGATGTTAGGCGCAGATGTATTGTATACCTGTAGTAAATTAAAATCTTAACCTATATTTCTACTAATACGCAGCATAACTGAATATATCTTTTATGCATTATTTATATTGTATTCATCATGTAGTATTCATTGTAGTGTTATATTGTAGTGTTCAAGATTATTTCTTGAGGTGGTTGTTAATGCTAAGGTTCCCATCACATTCTACTATTTTAATCTTTTGCATGACATATTTCATAATAACAGTCTATAATTTTATATTTCTATTGTGAAATGCATATAAACTTGTTTTGTATTGAAAATTGCCATAATACTGTTCTAGATACACAATTATATAAAAATATGAAGGTCTCTGCTCATACTAGTCATGGTACTGCATCATACAGAACATGAAACATGCAGTATAATGTGCATACTGTACACAGTATAACACTGCTGTACATATACATATAAAATACATACATTATAATAAACTACAGTATATATGCATTACAGATGCATATACAGTATACCACATGTGCACATATACATACACACTACTGTGTTATATTGTAGTATTCAAGATTATTTCTTGAGGTGGTTGTTAATGCTAACGTTCCCATCACATTCTACTATTTTAATCTTTTGCATGACATATTTCATAATAACAGTCCATAATTTTATATTTCTATTGTGAAATGCATATAAACTTGTTTTGTATTGAAAATTGCCATAATACTGTTCTAGATACACAATTATATAAAAATATGAAGGTCTCTGCTCATACTAGTCATGGTACTGCATCATACAGAACATGAAACATGCAGTATAATGTGCATACTGTACACAGTATAACACTGCTGTACATATACATATAAAATACATACATTATAATAAACTACAGTATATATGCATTACAGATGCATATACAGTATACCACATGTGCACATATACATACACACTACTGTATATATAAAACATATAAAGTAATGTGAAACAGTGTGGCCTGGCCTGACTGTAGTTTTTGTTCACATGTTATCAATAAAACACTAAATACTACTGTGCTCAGGTAGGCAGAACAGCAGGCACACAGTGGGTATGGTCAGTGAAACTGGGATGACGAGGGTGGGACATATCCCAGGACAGCTGATGTGGTCAAACAACCCAGCAGTGAATTTGATTTTAACAGTCAGTTTAGAAAATGACTTTCAGAGGAGCAGTTATTTTCCCCCCATGAAGCATCTATGAAATCACCCTGTGTGACATCGCCTGCTTTAATACAGTGCCACTACAGTATATTGGGTTATGAACATGTTACCCTGAATAGGGAAAAAGGAGTGTTTGTTTATGCTGAATACAGACAGTGATTATAAATCTAGGTTAATGCGCTTTGATTATTAGATTGAAGCTCTTTAAATTACAAGGATGCAAATGAAAAGCCAGTCAGCAGCACAGCACGGGTGTACACCTTGTCTTGAAGTGAGTTACTGTCCTTGCTCACAGCTGTTCGAAGCAGCTTCGTTTGAGAAGAGGTCAGAGGATGGATGAACCTGTTGACCTGAATGTCCCATCAGCATTTTCAATCCACAGAGAGGCTATTCTGTCTCCCCCAGTGAGGTCACCTCTCACTTCATGGTGGCAGTTGAGGCCTAACCATTCCACATGTCATCTTTTAGGATGAAGGGCTACCATGGCAGCAAGTAATTACTGTACATGCGTAGCTTTAACACAGCCCCTCCTAGTACCTAGTGTTCCATTGCCGCCTGCCTTTGCATGCTCCCAACTCCCATATGGCACAAAAAACAATATGCACATCTGCAGGGAAATATGAATAAGACCTGGTGATAATAAAGACAGATGCTGTTTGACCAAAAGCCATTTCATATTTAATGTGTCCTCTTTGCCATGTGCAGACACGTGGCATGTCCCAAGAGATGGCTTATCCAGCTGGGCTTTATAGAGGTCCTTCACCATAAAAAATTACAACCTTTATACAGTACAGACAAAAGACCCTTAAGGCAATGTACCTATGCTATAAACAGAGGTGTCACACTTTGTAGTAATAGTTTTGTTGCATCTTTTAAGCTTATTATGTTAAAGCTTATTGCTGATTATTATGTTAAAGCTTACTGAGTTGGTTTAGAAATCAAAAAGATGTACAGTATAGTACACAATGTAAAAATATCTTCTTTTTTTTTTACACATGATTCACACAGCATTGATCTGCTACTTACTGCCTGAAATAAAGACACAGAACACACTTTAAAACTATGTCATGGCAAAGCAAGGTAATCCTATTATGTAAAATCAGCAAGTCTACACACATGATTAACCAAATCTGAAAGAACTGCAGGATCAGAACTCCTGCTGCATTTTCAGATGTTATGAATCAGCAACACTGGGTGAAAACCGAGCTGAACAAACTGGCTGATAGCCGATGCCCACAGGTGTTGAAGTATCCAGCTAAAGCCTGTCACTTGAAATCATGTGTATCTGTTCATCTCTCTGTTCACAGGCTCTCCTACCGAACAGGACAAGACACGGCAAATTGTGACACATGTCGAAATAGCGCATGCATCATTTACAGGTGGGGCCCTTTTCACTGCCAGTGTGTCACTAATGCTGCCTTAAATGTTGTTTTCTGTGGGATAAATTGTTTCAGTGTAAAAGAGATGCTTACAATTTGCATTTGGTACAGGGATGCTTGTCTGTACATTTACATTTACAGTGATCTGAAATGGAAGAATGAGTCAAATAAGTAAATGGCAGTACTACTATTGGTAGTATTATATACTGTATATTGCTTGTTGCGCTACAGCATGTCTTACTTTAGTGGATAATATCATTTACAAGGGTTTCTGGGGAAGCATGGCCTTGCTATGATGGAATACGTAGCAGTGGAAAGTGACAGAGTCGAAAGTACAGTTGACCCTGTCACT